AAAAAAAAAATTTTTAATTGTGTAATTCGTGATGATAAAAACAATTCATTAATAAAAAAAAAATTTATATACATAACGATTCGTACGATACTGGTCAGAGTTCATTAAAAAAAAAAAAATATCAATAAGTTATTTCATTATTATTATTACTACGATTATTATTATTATTATAAGAATGAATCCGTCGTGTCACCTTTGGTCTAAACTATTGCACTTTACAAAAAACTTTTTTTTCAATACGAAAAAAAAAAAAAAATTATTAACTAAATCCCCCAAAAGTTCGAAAAATGAATAACGAATGTATTGAAATAGAATATTAAAAAACAAAAGAGCGGGAAAAAATTTGAATTACGCGATTTTTTACGATGTTCGCGAATGTTTCGAACGTTCGATTGCGCAACAACAAGTAAGCGAAAAAAAAAAAAAAAAAAAAAAAAAAAACGGAATAATGTATATGTAACACACATTGGTGATGAACTTCACCTAAATTAAAATTAATTTAATAATAATGATAATAATAATTGATAAACTATCGTCTACGTAATGATAATAATGATAAAAGTGTATTATCTTTACGTACATTTTCTAGAAAAAACTTAAAGAAAAAAAAAGCGCGGGAATATTTAAAATTTTCACACCCTAAACGCGAGAATATTTGAAATATTAATAAGAAGGTTGTCTGTCGTCTCGTTGTCGTCTTGTTGTTGTCGTTATTTACGGATTTGAAAAAGTTATATTTAAAATTAATAATAATAATAATAATAATAATAATAATAATAATAATAATAATAATAATAATAATAATAAAGATGGACGACATTGTTACAAAAAAAAAAAAAAAAAAAAAAATTGTTTATATTATTACAACAATGAAAAAAGCGAGTTAGTTTGTTGAAAAGATTAAAAAAAAAAAGTGTGAGAGAGAGAGAGTGTGTGTGCGCGCGCGTGCGCGCGTGGTCCCGTATGTGTGTGCTTGCATGAGAAAGAGAAAGAAAGAAAGAGAGTGAGAGAGTGAGAGAGAGAGAGAGAGAAAAACGTGCAAGCAGAAAAAAAAAAAAAAAACGATGAAATCTTCAAACAATTCTTTCAATAACGAGAAGATTAATAATTTGCCTTAAGTCAGTTAGTTCTCCTGTGATCGGCCGGGACGAATGTTGTCGGTTGCACGTTGTCGGTTGCACGTTGTCGGTTAAATTTTGTTACCGAATTCCCGCGACATTTTTTTTTTTTTTTTATTTTAATTTTTAATTTTTAATTTTTAATTTTAACGACATTTTCGTATCGATTTTTTTTTTTTTTTTTTTAAATAATAATTTAACGGGGGGAAAAAAAAAAAATTTTCTTTTGTGTTCTAACTACGAAATCGTTTTAATTATGCGTAATTTTTTTATAAATGCGTACAATTATTATTATTATTATTATTTAATTTTTACATAATAAAATTCGTTGTTTTTTATGTATAAAAAAAAGAAAAAAAACTTTTATTATATTAATTAATTGACAAGTTCGCGACCGTTTTTTTTTCTTTCTACTTTATGACGTTTTTAAAATTGAAATATTATTTTATAAAAAAAATTTTTTTTTTTTATTTAACTGTAATGAATGATATTAAAATAAAAAAAATAAAAACGTTTATTTATAAGTAATAATAATAATAATAATAATTATTATTATTATTATTATATTATAATAATTAAAACGAAGAATGTTAATCAGTTAATCGATAATAATAATAATAATAAATGAAATGACTTCTAGATTCGGTCAACGTGCTACGGGAGTAGCAGCAGTTACGGCTATCGTCCTACTCGTCATATTAATCGTTTTATTATGGACGAATGTAGGACATGATTTTTTTAACGAGAATTCAAATTCTCCTAAAAAGAAAATCCACGTCGGATCCTCATCATCATCATCATCATCATCATCATCATCTCCTCATAGCAATGTTGTGCGAAATAATAATATATTTAGTGGAAGTGATTTTAGAACTACGGGAAAAGTTAAAAATGATGAAATATTTTCAACAATGTCTGATTTACTCGTTCCGCCGCCGGAAGGGATTCACGTGACAGGTAATAATCAAATTTTTTTTTTTTTTTTTTTAATAATTTTTTTCAATTTTGAAAAATTTGAAAACGTTCGAGAACGTCGCGCGCGCGAGTTAACGGTCGTTGGCAAATTTATTAACGTTCCTTTTCGTATGTGTATGACGACGCGCTCTCGCGAATAAACTCAGAACTATTCAAACAAACGTTTATCGTTTGCATACGCATTCGTTTCTCGCTCGCTCACTCGCACGCACGCACGCAAATGTGCGTGCGTGCGTGCGTGCGAGTGAGGGAATAAATAAAAAATCAAAGAAAAAAGATACATATAAAATCGAAAGGATTTTTTTTTTTAACAAAAAAAATCGTGTAATAAGGTTTTTTTTTTATTGAATTGGTTTTTTTCTTCCTCTGCTTCATCGTGTTCATTCTCTCTGCCGTCTTATTTCAAGTTCCAGTAGGTGTCCTTGAACTTAACCATGCTGGAGACACATCTCTCAGAACCGTATTAAGTTCGTGCAGTTTTTCTCTCTCTCTCTCTCTTCTCATTAATAAGTATATAAAAATAAAACGATGATAGTGAAAAATGGGGAGGAAAAGGGAGGAAAGGGGGAAGGGTGGGGTAAAGATCGATAACGTATCACGCGATGTTTTTTCCAATTCGATGGAAAAGTTTCGAGAAAAAAACAAGAAGCAACATTATTATTATTATTATTATTACTGCCATTAAGACCG